AAATGTAAACGATTTTTTTTTTAATTTAAGAATAAATTAAAATTTCATTTTATTTAATTATAACTTGATTTATATATAATTTCAAGATGGTTCAAAATAATCTAATTTAGTTTTTTTTTGTCGTAAATAAAATTTTTATTTTTTCTAATTATTATCTATAATCTTTTTTAATTTCTTTTTCCGTTATTTTTACGTCTTACCTAGAATTTCTTAAAAATTTAAATACTAAATATTCTTCGAAACACAGAATAATTAATGCAAAATAAGAAAAGATTAAATCAAAAGCTACTTAAATATCACAGGACACGGATAAAACGTTATTATAATCCATAAACTATTTATCCAACCAGTATAAGCAATAGTTGTGGATATAGATTATGACATAGAATTACAGCTCTGTGAGCTGCTTCTGATGAAACAAAGTACATGAGAATGCTAGACTTACATTGTATGGAACAGAATAAAACAATTAATCAAGGATGTTCAACTCTTTTTCCCTAGATTGATTCATTTCTCGTGGTAGAACTGTATCAAATCAAGTTATCTTCCAAACTGTAAGTCAAAGGATCGAAAACAAAAGAATCAGAAACGGTACGATTCCTCTCTCTCTAACTGAGCATGAAAGACACACACACCAGTCTGTCATCAATTCAAATTCGTTTTCCAGCCAGAAAACGGCTATAGAAATCATATGCTTCTCGTGGTTTGTACTCTGGAACGGTATGTCCTGCTCCCTGAACCGACACAATCAAGTTTAAAACTAGGATTAGCTATGCAAATGCCAGCTGAAAATTGATCAAAAGCAAGAAACAGACTCAAGCATCATCCATGTAAGAAGCAGTCAGTTTACCTTTATTGTTAAAAAGGTAAGGTTCTCATATCCTTGAGTGTACCTGTAATGAGTGCAGGATACCCAAGGGTAAATTAGGAAATAGATAATTATATGTAAATGTAAAAACGGTAAGTTTGTACCAGAATAGTTTTGTCTATTCAATTATAACAAATTAGGGCTAGGAATAATGTTAGGTGAATAGGGAAACAGAAAAACAGAAAATAGAGGAAGATGATGATCATCAGATCAGGCGGTTACAATTTCCTACTTTATAACCTATATTTAAGCATGTCTTCCACGAATGACAGATATCGAAAAATTATTGACATCAAAATCTATTCTCTCAAATTTTGCTTCTCGGTTTTTTCTCTCTTTCTTCATCTTTCTTCCAGATCTGAACCATGTATCAAGTTCGTGACAACAACAAAACGTATAGCAATAAAAATTTCAAGTCAAATATCTGGATGTTTTGTGCAATATGCAAGAAGCTGATAAAGATTGCTATTTCATAAAATGTCAGTGTTAAGTGGAAAAGGGAACAATCTAAATTCTTTCCAATTCAAGTATTTCAATCGCTTGTGTTAAAACAATTTTGAAAGTACCCTGCAACTTGATCATTTGAAAACCATGGTCTCCATTCATCAATAATCCTATATCCAAGTGATCTTGTCCATGCTTCACTCCCCGTGTATGGAACACACATATCGTGATCCCCACTGCATTAAAAAAAAAACGCCAACAAAATCAATGGTGCAGAGTTCATAATAAGTTTTGCTATAGATCTAATCAGTGAGG